CTAAATCAATGACTAAGTCATTGTCAACGCCAGAAGGTCGCCTAGAACGAAGGGAATCATTTTGACACAGATGAAAACGGTTTTCATATTGTTCTACTAACTGGAACACGATTCAAGTACACGTTATGAATATTTTTTGTGGCAGTTTCACCGTCTACTCCTTTTCTGAACTCAACTAACGCAACGCGCCGAAAATATGACTTCTCACCTTCGTTGGGCAATGGTAGCTCGGCACATAAATTAATCTGAATCAGCACGTGTTTAGATATGCTGACTCGGGAGGCAGTTGCCTGCCAGTGAGCCAATAACACGACGATAAAAGAAACGTCTGCACAGTCGAAAGTGCGTGCCTCTAACATCAATGCAATCGCCCAGTTGCAGGAACCTGAAATTGACCTTCTGCTGTGACCAAAGCGATATCCAACCCTGTACCTGAGCTTGACCTTTTCGTGTGTGAAACCTGATTCATTTTGATGTGTCTTAATGCCAAGATCGAATCACTTGATGGCAGTTTCGTTGTGTCATTTTTCGAGCTGAATTAAATTGCTTGGGTGCATTTACTTCTGAGATCTGATCAACAACTTTGTAATGGTGTGAGTTTGTGGTATTTGTGTGTTTTGAAAAGACACGCACAATCTTACACCTTCACGAAACTGGTATCGTTGCTTATTTTGATATCCATTTGACAGGTGTTTTTCAGCTAAAAAACTAAATGCGCGTGATTGGGGCCCGAAACGCTGCTGCAGAAGGTGTACTGCGGAAACATTTCCCAAAAAAAAACTTTAATATCCACAAACTACTGCCATTAAATTGCGCTTTTTCATGACCAAAGTTAGTAATCTTACAACGAAATTATACTTGGCCATACTTGTATGTAGAACATCTCTTTACCTAAATTCTGGTATGCATATATTTACTGTGACAGAACAACCGTCGATAAACGCGTAAAATCTATAAAATGTGTAACTTTGAGAGCAATTACTATTAAAATATAGTGGTTTTAGTGATATTAGAGGAACAACGAAAGCCTAGCCAAGGCTGCCTCTGATTAAACATACCTAATGTGTGCATTTTTTAAAAGAAATATTAACCATTTTCTGTGGTGTCAAGGGGTGTGTTCTCTTTGTGTCAGTTTGCGTCAGGAATATGAAAAATGGTATTGCTGGAACCAGGCGAAAAACAAGCACGAATAAAATATTTGCGGGATGTCAGACATTATGGAAGATTTTGAAGTAGCGTTTAACGCATGCTCCCACGGACGAAAACTCGAGCTAGTTTTTTTATGCAGGAATCTCACATATTTTTGGAAAAAATTAAATTTCTGCAGCATTTGAGCGCTGCCATGACATCTAAGATGACACAAATGCAATTGCTCAATTTAAATCATTAATTTTGCGTTAAATTGTTTTTCCCATAGGCAATCCACGTGATTTAATCTAAGCTACGTGAAAAGAGTCTATTTTGTAAAACGGCTTGCAGAAAATCGCGATATCTAAGCATGAGAAAAGCTCAACCACTCAGCCAGTTGCTGTCGGCCTTAATTTTCCAAAATGAAAAATTTTCGCAGCAAGTTTTACCCAAAATTTGAAAATTAGTGGCATTAAATCTCGCAAAAAAGGGAAAAAAAGGAATTAGACAAAACGCGGTGCGGTATTTTTGAAAGCACATCTAACCCCGCCTTTTTTACAATGAAATTATTATGTCTTTTGGCATGAGTATTTCCGAAGTCGCCAGGGCCTATCTTGATGACTTTAGGGCCGAAAAAATTTGAAATTTTTTTATTTACTCTTTCTGTGTTCTAAGTATGCATAGACTCGAATTCAATCACATTTTTCAATGAAAGAAATTAAATTGAATTGAAATAAAGGATGCTGACATGCTGCTGATACCAGAAGCAGCAATTATGTTATGCCTTGTCCTCCTTGCGTCAAGACTAAATTACCGGAAATGCGGTGAGAAAACCTTGTGAGCAGCATTTTACTCAAATGTCCAGAGAGTTTTTGATGTCTGGGACAGAAATTTGCACTGTAAATTAAAACCCGATATAGATTTAGTACAAACATATTAATGTGCATAACCGACGCTTATAAAATCTTGTGAAAAATCATCTGCTCCAAAGCTGCCGTTAGTCGTTGTGCAGAAGGCTTAGACAACCTGGGAATTAAGAGGGCCTCAGTTCTTTTAGACACTCGTGTCTAAACGCCGATATCACAATTCCAGTCTATGTAACAAAACGAATTTTTTAATTTAAATTACAGCCTAAAATTGCTAAAACGATTTTTAGCTAAAATTTATGTGGAATAGTCTTGAGGTTCTTGCGTCCAGTACGACAGGGCTTGATTACAAAGCATGGAATTCATTCAACAAAAAAACCTTTCTTAACCAAACCTGGATGGCAGAATGTTTTGTCAAATAATTGCCATTTCTGGTGAATAAAACATCGTTTTCTGATGCAAAGTTCACTCAAACATAATCAAAAGTTTGCCATGGAGACGAAACATATAATTGACAACGACAACGACTATTTCTCATTAAGTTGAAGATGTGCATTTACACAGGAAGCCGATTTTTTTAATTTACACGGCTTAAAATTGATTTTTCCACCGCTGATTGCATCAGATTTGAAAGTGTTCTAACAACACTTTCACGGAAATCTACAAAATTCGTTTGAATAGAGTCAGTCCCAATGAGTTAATATTTATTAAGAAAAAGTATTCAAGAAGGCATGCAGAAGCACGCGATGCAATAACGATTTCTCATCTAAATTCCCTCAACGTGTCAATTATTTCTGTAAAAGTGCAAACCTTTTAATAGGCATTAAAATGTCCACAAAAACCATTCTTCCGCAAACGGAGTAAATTTGATGCAATTTTTTAAATCATAATAATTGAAACTGTAACGCAGAATCCAAATATGGCCAACATCTGTTGCGGTTTCATGAGGTCGCATTCTTCACAAATACAAGAGTCCTTTTGTTGAAACCTACTTCTTGTCAGGTTGTGGCATATGGTTGGACCATCATCTGAGCCACTGTGGCCACTTCATTCCGCCTTCATTTAGATTCTTTCCAGTCTGACAAGTAACCACCGTGCACCATCGTTGTAAAAGGGGAGTGATTTCAAGAAATACCAGAGAATGCTTCGACATTTTCAAATGGATTGTCTTGATTTTGTGAAATCCCAGGACATTTGGCCTCAAAATGATTCGGCTTCAACATGCGCACTCGATTTCAGATTCTTCTGTTATTTAAATAAAAAATGAAGTGTTAACAGTAATGAATTTTCCATCATGCCTTTTGCCAAATTTATCATATTCTCACTATCAGCAAATCCCTTTCAATTGAATATTCACTTTTAAGTGTTAGGCCTATTGCAAAGACCAGTGGGTTAGCTTGAAAACGTGTAGCATAACCAGAGTAATTTTTTCATACCAGATATCATTTGCCAGAGAACTGAACGATGCACATTGTGGGGCATTATAATTACGTTTTTAATCACTAAATTCTGGGAAATGCAGGCACTCTTGATTGCACCCCAAATGAGAAACCACGTCCTAATTGTTCCTTAAAAGACCCAACACTCTGAACCCCGCATCACCAACTAACTGCCAGATGTCCGTTTTTTTTACAAAGCAGCAAGTACATTGTTACATTGTAACTGTAGATACTGAGCGATAGCAGCAGAACAACATGTCAGGCTGGGAAAAAAACTCCTTTGCCGGAGATGAGCCTAATTTGTCGTGAAACAAACCTTGAAATAAAAACGAATTGGCTTATAGAGAACCGTTTCTTACTTTTTAAAACAACACTTGCATTGCCTCAAACGGAATTTATTTAATCTAGTCAATTTTACAACATTGTACTCCTCCGCAAAATTAAGCCTTTCGTGGATAGATGCAGGTCACAAGAAGGTACGAAAATTTGAAAGTAAATGTAAATCTAATATTTCACAATCTCTTCTAAACTAGCTGACTTATGGTTTGGAATTAGAGGTTTCTAGAAATACTAGATTATTTTTAAATTGTTACTTGAATTCATTATTGGTTTAAACAACGAAAAGTCTTACTGGTTCCTCTGTTGCGGCATGCCCTTTCGTTAGTAGAGACCATTTAGAGCTATTTGACAGTGGACGCTTGCCACAAAATGCAAAAAAAACGGTAGGGTTTGAGCAGGAGACGAATGCCCAAAAAAGTAGTATAGAATTATTTAATTGTTTTCTGTTCATTGGTAAGAAGTCCTAAATGGAAGGTCAAGCTAAGAGGCGACAAATAGATTCAAAAAAAGGTAATTTGATCGAAAGTACTTCCACATTTGACTAAACAGACATATGCATTTAGGAGTTGTGGTAATATTTATGATCAGACTAGCCATTAAGTGGCCTGAGCAACAAATTTCTGTGCAACTGGGGCAGCCCCAACAGTGTTGGGTAGTGGCGACACCGTGAATTGCTCTCCAGACAACGAGTGATTTACGACATCATCCGCGTTTTTGGCTTCGTCAATGAAGTCCTCCTATTTTTTAAGTCCAAAGCGTAATTAGTAGTTTGCACTGTGCATCAGTTTAATTGTCCAAGATTTGCACACATCGAAGCGTTTTGCAAAATTTCTAAATTTCTTAATAACCAGCTTTATCAGAATAAATTTAATGTCGTAATCTATGCAACAGGGAATTTTAGAGGAAATCCGTGTTAGGTATAAACCTTGCAACGCACCTTCCTTTGACCGGAATTTTTTAATACCACGTATATTAATTGATACATTGCCGTGTTTCTGGGCCACAGAAGTTGGCTGCAATTATCGTGCTTATTCTCTGGCTTCCAAAAACTAACACACCACCGCACAGGCAAGTAAATGCCAAGGTAGTTCTGCGTAAATATCGTTTAGAAGAACAGACGGTTAAACTTGTTTGGCATATCGACCTGAGATGCAGAGAATATGTACAATTGTAAGACACCCAACTGGGTCGATTCTTCTACTGATTTGAAACTGAATTGTGGATTTTTTTAAAAGGAAGACATTGAAAGGAATTTGCCAGTACCTTTAGTAAGCTGATGTGTGGCCAACTGGACCTTGGAGAAGGTTCCCTTTCCGAGGACCTCATGAAGTGTATACTTTCCGACGGTTGCGCGGTTGCTGTGGAGGGTCCGGCCACAAGACGTCGAAGTTGATGACACGGAGTCTCGCGTTCGCTGAATCTGTTCAAGAAGGAGTTCGTAAGGCGTCTTGTTGGCCGTGCTCAGGTTGTCGGCTGAGGGCGACCCTAGTTTGGAGAATTTGCTCACACCAACCGATGACTTCGCTAGCTGCTGGCGCTTGGGCGAGGGAGCAATGGTGTTGCAGGTAGCGCTGTGCTTCATAGCAAATCGTGGACGCCGTCGGGAGGGAGAACAGTCCGTGGTGGCTTTCATGCAGTGATCACTCACTCGATTTGTCATTTTTTAATCCCCTGGGGGTGAAAAATCAACCGGAAATGAATGAGTCTGGTGTATTCTGCAGCAGCCTTGTCAACGCAACTGTCAAAAATTTATTATTCTTCATTTGGCTCAAAGTAACGGTATGCTACATTGAAAAAAATCACTTCCGATGTCCCCTTCCGAATTTTGAATAAAGATAACATTACTGAGCGTTTGGCACATAGAAATCGGTTACCAAATTTTTATCCTTCTTCTGCGCACTTTTGATAGAACACGGGTGTGCAAATGATATCGCAGTCAGGAGACTGAAATTGATAACTTCCAACGGGCCCTCTAAAGTTACTTTGCGGTGTAAGAATCGAGTTTCATATATCGCAATTTTGTTTGGTTTGCGTTAGTTTTTAAAGCTAAGCCACCAGGTTGTCAGGATATAAATCTTCACAAGACAGCAATGAAACTGCAATGGTTTTATCAACTAGGTAACGGTGGCAATCAGTCGTGTTGTAGAGCAAAAAAAGAACGAGATAATTTTTCAGTCCTACTAGGTAAACTAATGTCCTTTCTGTTTGATGAGTACCCACTTTTTCCAATCGCTATTTTGAGTTATAAACACCACAACAAAAACAACCTTTAACGTATGGCTTGTAATTATGATCCCATTTTTCACTGACTTACAATCCTTATGCCTAAGTTAATTATTGGGACTTTACAAGAAAATGAAAGTTTTCAGTACTTTATAGCAAGCTTTTCACAATCCACAAATTACAGACCTCACAATCCCAAGTTTATTTGCAATTACCTTAATGATTGTCATTACATTTAAGCCTTCCGAGAGTGCTTATTGGCAGAGAAGAAATGGTATTAACGAAGACACAAGTGGCAAGCAATAAATGCCCATTTGAGAAGAAACATATGTTGCTGTTTTCGATTGAATTTGATAAGTCTGCCTACTTTAAACCACCACTTAAATCACCTTTAAAAATATCATTTATTTATGTGATAATTCATTAGTCTATAAACATTAATTTATTCAAAGAAGAAAAAAGTTCCATAATGTGCAAACTCTTAATTCAAAAATACTGAACTTTAAAAGGAAAGTAAGATGGCTGATATGTCCTAGACAAAGTAAATCCCATAAGTCTGTGAGAGGTTTTGCATATGCTGTGGATAAAATACCCGACAATGATCTGGTTCGGATAAATACCTTATCTAACGCAGAGCTGCTTTTAAATAATTATGCTACATTGGAAATAACTACAATACTTATACAAGGCACTTAAGTTTTGCCTGACTATGTCGCTTGCCAAAATGCCATACTATGATCCAATCTGGGCCTGAACTCAATCCTACGCAAAGGTTCTTGCAAATATTCAGTGTGCGTAAATTGTATCTTTTTATTTACGAAGATGCACCTGTTAATATAAAACAGCAAGGCCAAACTTGTCTGTTACGACAAAATGCTTCATCACCAAGTTTGCGTTTATCTTTATACAATTTATGCGAGTGTTCATTTACTTTAAAAATGACTTTTGTCAGATTTTCAAAGGTAATGAGAAGATCGGCAGTACATGGATGTTTAAAGTTAGTTGCCAATTCATTTACTCTATTCAGCCTTATTCTACCGTTTTATCCAAATCTTTGATATGTCCAGTTGCCCCAGAAATAATTTGTAGCTTTGAAATAAAACATTTGTAAAATTACCACCTGAAGTTTACTATTAGCACATAATGTAACATGGATCTTAATGACGTTAATCGGAGGAATAATAAGAAATATTACATATGCAAAAGTTAACAAAACCTAATTAATGGCTTTATATCTCTTTTTTTGCTTATTTTTTAGCATCTTTTGCATACGATAAACAAACCCATATTCGCAAATTGTTATTGCATTATGTTAATCTAATCTATTCTCTGCAATAAAAGTATAAATTAGAAAGGTACACTATGAAAAGCTTAAAAAATTGGGGCTGCTTTGAATCATTTATATCAAAAAAATGTTTTGTTTTCTTAAATAATATTATTTTCCCACATTATCAAAATATGAGTTATGATAACATAATCTGCAAAAAAAATTGAAAAAAATGACCTACTGCGTGTTAAAATATTTTGCGCTCGTTAGAATTCGATGCTTATGCTTTGTAAATTCAAAGCAAACCTTTCATTAACATTTGGTACCATAAGTCAGTTAAATCCAAAACTTTTGGGATATAACCGCATTTATAATTCACTAGCTTTCATGACACAACGCGGTAAGAAAAATTATAAACTGCTTAGCTTTTGTTAAAAAATAACAGCAAAAATTGCATTAAAATGCTCTTATCCCTTGGACGGGAAATGACTTCTAACTGACCAATTAGAAGTAGTTATAATTGTGCTAGATTTTGGGAACGCTAAGTATACTATTGTTGTGTATATAAACAAACGAGGACACTAAAAAATGTAGACAGCTAGAAGAGGCCAGTCGTATAGATTTTAAAAAGTAAAAGCCTACTCAATCGCAACACTTAAAATTCTAAAGACAGGGACAGGTTTCGGTAGTTGTAAACGAAACCTACGCAGAAAACTTCTTGCATATTTTGACGAAATTTTTAAAAGGCCTGATTTGAGAACATTTTCTTTTAGTCACTACTGTTAATAAAATCAATTTAAAGAAAATAAAATCAGGATTTTGCTTGTAGATGGAACGGATGCGTGAAATCACAAAGCAAATTTTAGAACCTATGACGAGGTTTTTGGGCACAGAGATATATTACGAGTATATCCGACAGAAAATGAGTCGTGCAATCACTGTCAGCATCTGAACAGTGTACTCGGTTAAAGCGAAAATATGTTTTGAGCTTTACATTTATTTGCCAGACTTTCACTATGGACTATTTATTGGCACAGATAAATAACGTTACAAATTTGAATTCCAAAGTGCTTTAGAAGGAAATAAATCAATAAACAGTGGGGTATAAAAGCACAGCAGTGTTAAATTAAATCAGCCGAGGTCAGTCTCTTTGCGTTTAAAAGGTTTGATGTGGTCTCGTACTACGTTAGAGCCATTAAAGTAACTCAGGTCCAACAACGACTTCCAGAAACCAGCGATGAAAAAAAACGGAGTGCACGAGGACACAACCGTTTACTTTAGAGTTCAACCATGCTGGTGTCGTTGTATCGTGGATGGCATTTGATCGTGTGTTTTTGTACCTTAGATGTATGAGTCACAAATGCACTAACATAGGCACCTAGGTGTGAGAAAATCCAGGATAAAGTTTTTTGGGAATGAGGGGGAGTTAAGGATCCAAGCGGCTGGCGAAATGCTCGAAAACAAGGCTGAAGTGATCAGATTAGCGAGTGAGAACAAAAGCGATGCGCAACAGGCTTACTTTGCAATTTATTAGCCAACAGGAGGCAACTATGGAATAGAATAGCTATATTACATGGAACACAGTTGATGTACTTGACTCGGTCAAAAGACACCTGACGAACATTTCCGACTTCTGCTTTTTCAAAAACACGCATTCGGTGTGGCTGGTTATATTTACAATGTGGCTCGGACATTCTGCAAAAGGCTAATTGGTTTATTAAGTCTGCATATCAAGGTCGAGCAAGAAAACGCAAACGGAGAGACTATTCTTATTACATTTGTATTAAAATATGTCGCTAGGATCGGGCTCAGGTATAGTCAATAACCTGATTTAATGCACATTACCTAAGCTTAAAGGTTTATTTTTAAATGGAAAAATTACTCCCAATTTTCGCATACAAATCTGAAATTTCGTTTTTCAAATTGATATTTTAATCTGTATCAGTTCATCAGTTTAAAGAAATCTCTTTTCAATATGCCTACATATTTCAGATGTAAAACACATTTACTGTTTGAGCACAGTATAATTAGCAGTCACAACATTCTACTAGGTTCAGTAATACGGATAATTCCTCTAGACTAACATTTTGTGTAATTGTAACTTCCAATTTTAACCAGGCTGAAATTTTTTAACAAAAAGTGAATACATTATCGGTTAAAATGAATTTTCTTTTCCATTAAGCAATATTGATAAATGCGATCCTAACATGATTAAACATAGCTCTGAGTTATACGTAAACAGAAATACCTGCGTCTTAGCTTAAAAAAACAAGTGCAATTTTTGGGGCATTTTTAAAACTTTGTAAGTCAGAACCGAAACGCAGGTGCCGGGCATTGGAGTCTTCCCTACACGTTTTGTCTCCCATTATTTTAGCTTCATGATCTTTTATTTTCCTCTGATTTGCTGCTGATCTTACCTGTAGGTCACTGAAACGAATACAGCCAGAGAATTGGTTGAGCTCAAAAATACAAAATGTCTGCGTTATCCACCCGTCACTTTGTAGAATACCCGGCCCTAGTATGAAGACTGAAACGACAGAACAGGCTTTACTTACCAATAATAAAACCAGGACCACACACCAGGAGCCGTAAATCCAAGTCCTTCACGCTGGCTGCATCGCCCTGTATTTGCCATTCCTCATTCGCGTCTGTCTCTGGTTGGCTGCATTTCCTCCTCGCATGCCATTGGATCGCAGAGAGAAAGAAAACGGGCTGCGGCACGTGCGGTCCAATATGTCTGCGCCCTAGTACGTCGACGCTGTAGAATACCCGAGCCCTAATAGGTAAAAGACTGGTACAACAGAACAGGCTTTATTGACCAATCAGAAGCCAGAGCCACGCGTCAGGCGTCTTCCATCCGAGTCCATTACGCTGGCCACGCCGCTCATTATATACTACTCCTCAGCCGTGTCCTTCTCTGGTTGGCTGCCTTCCTTTCCCGCATGCCATTGGATCGCAGAGAGACACGGGATTGGCTGCGGCCAGGTGGTCCAACATGTCTGCGCCCCGATCCGTCGCCACTGTAGAATACCCGAGCCCTAATAGGAAAAATCCTGGTACAACAAAACAGGCTTTATTGACCAATCAGAAGCCAGAGCCACACGTCAGACGCCTTCCATCCGAGTCCACCACACTGGCCACGCCGCTCATTATATACCGCATCTCATCCATGTCCTTCTCTGGTTGGCTGCCTTCCTTTCCCGCATGCCATTGGATCGCAGAGAGATCCGGGATTGGCTGAGGCCAGGTGGGCCAAAATGTCTGCGCCTTAATCCGACGCCACACCACAACGCACCACACCACAGCTTCAGATAATTGTCACCCTCCGCAGGGCAGTGCTATTGTAAGTCGGCACGTTTCTTCCATTTTTTTTTAATATAACTAGATTCTCTTACCTTTAATACCAACATTTAGTAGTTGTATGTCTTTTGACGTAATTTTTAACTGAATCGCTTGCACACTATTTCTGTAGGCATCGCCGCGTCCCCCACTCATTAAAATGGATTCAAACCAATGTTTTTAATTTCCCTTGTTCCTTTTACAACTTGTGACAAGATAAGTAGCACTAATACTACGGAGAAAAGCTTGTATAAACGAAGCTTCTTCATTTTTGACGTCTAAATTTTCTTCTATCAGATTTAATCAATTTCTGAAGTGTGGAAACTTAATGTTGTATTATCATAACCCCTTACATCATTCTCTGGGCATGAATGTGTTCAGAAATTGTATATATGGCACTTGCTAATTCACGCCTTCATCATTAGATTTCGATGGAGCTTGTTAGCAAATGTTAAGGTGCCCAAATGTGTTTTTCTCTGGGCCTTTTTCATGCTGTCTCGTCGATTAAATGTCTAACCTCCTCCTGTACTCCCTACACTCATTTGCAAGTCCGTATTTCTGAATATTTGCAGATATCTTTTTTATTTTTGCTCCTAAGGCGCAATTTGTTTTTTTTTTCTATCGTATGTACTTGAATCTTCACCCCGTTGATTACTTAAGGATGTTCGGTCTTGCGGCGAAACTTCACTCTTGCATTTGTAATTCGTGGCCATCAGTCCATATATGCGTATTTTTGAATGCCTAGTAATTTATCGCGAAGTTGATTTTCATTGCTAAGGTGCCTTTGAATGGTATCACCGTGTTCCATCTTAAAAACGGTGTCGTGTCGGAAAACTGAAATTGTGTATTTTTTATTCCCTGAAGTATACCCAGTGGTGTCATTTCGATATGCTATTAGAAACTAACGATCTAATCCTCTATTAGCAGATAAAGGTAGGTGTTCCGATTTCACTTTATTTTAGTTCCTTTGTAAATTTTTGTAATGTCGAGATCTAGCTCGCTAAATCTGGCTCTCGAGCTGTCGTAGTTCAATGAATATCCAACTAAGTCGCACTGTTCCTCCTGTTTATTCTTACTTTTCTCCCTCATCATGTGTACGTGGCTCCGTGGTTTTTTGACGATATCACTGCGCTCTCGCATTTTGTATCTAGGGCACTGTTCAGGTCTCTAAATGGCAGTTGTTTTAATGAAACCAACTTTCTCTCACAGATGTCCGAGGCGCCGTCCGTTTTGCTGCGCGTAAAGCGGCCCTTGACGGAAACCCCAGTAGAGTGCTTCAGCGCCATCCCCACCAAGCGTCTGCGTTGTCAAAAGGCCGATTACAACATTCCAGCCTCCTTCCGGTACCTTGGATCTACGTCTGCCCTCACAGATACCACGCGTTTCTCCACAGAGGATTTGCACAATTATGCTCCCTTAGGCAAGACCAAACTCTTCCTGTCCTCCAATTCCACAGCGCATGTTGTCGATCCGGAAACGTCACGAGCAGTACCTTGCAAGGTAAGTTTACGCAAGTGGTGGTTGCACTTCTGTGGAATTTCTGGCGCCCTGCTAATATGATCAGAATGTTAGTTAATATGCAGTCATATTGTCGTCGTGTTCTTCAAACTTGGTAGTGATTAATGTCGGAACAGCTAAATTGCTCAAGGCGCTTGGTCGATTTAGAAATTGTGATTTTGTGTGTTTTGACAACCGAAGTAATTAGAGCGTGCTTTTTCACGGCCGTTTCTCACCTCACTTATCAACAAAATGAACCTTTCTTAGATGACCTCACACTCATTTTTTCACCTTTTTCTGCAGAAATAATTTGAGTTTCAAACATTTTGATTCAATAGAGGAAGTCAGAACTACCATGCTACTTTCCTTGCAAAAAAACTGTTGTGGGCCCTAGCATGTGGTCTTGAACCACGCCGGGGCCACGGAATTAACTCTGACCCTATTACGCTTGCCTGATGCCCGCGATGAAGAAAAAAACCGGAGAGAGGCCGTGGGCACAATCGTTTACTTCGGAGCCCAACCAAAACTGATATCGTTGTGTCATGTGTGGGGTTTGCGCGTGCATATTTATACCTCGAATGCGTGAGTCAAAGATGAGCTAACATCGAGACCTAGGCGTGAGGGTAATCCAAATAATCGTGTGAATGGAGGGAGAGTTGAGGATTCGCGCGGCTGGCGCTATGCTGCGAAAAGGGGAACCCAGTGTCGGATCGATCAGATTAAGGGATGTGAATAAACACGATTCACGACAAAACAACATTGATGGATTCATAAATACATTCCACGTTGAAACAAGCTTCCACTGAGAATATTGGTCGATCAATTGCCTCTCATAAAACTATTTCCCACATAGGTGCGGTTTTCGAAAGCAGCAAAGAGGAAGGCTGATGATTCTGAGGAAGTCGCAAGTCGGACGTCGCCCTCATCTTCACCAAGGCCTCCTTCACCAAAGTCCCTGCGTGTTATCGACATCCTCTATGAGCCTCATCCAGAATCTCCCTCCCCTACCCTGCACAGAGCAACTGGAGGCCGAAGCCGTTCCAACGATAAAGACGAAAAGGAGGACGTTTTAGTGGATAAGATTCATAATGGTCGCGATTTCATCTACGACGTCTACGCTCCCGTTACTCGCTTGGATGACGAAAATGAGGATGGCTTGGAACCACCGTTCGAAGGCATTTATGAAGGCGATTCAGACGAATTCGATGAACGTTATTTCTGTGACGACGAAGACTCTGATTCAAACAGCGAATCCAACTGGAGAAATGACTATCCAGATGAAGAGGATGATGATTTTATGGATAAGCGGCTGATAACTCGGTTTAGAGGTGACTACGATGACGACACCGATGAAGAGAAAGATGACGACGATGAGGATGATGATGATGAAAGTGAACTTGATGAGTATCGGTATTCCAGTGATGTCTGCGAAGAGATTTATGAATTCGAGCGACTAGGCATGAATTATCGGCCGTAGTTTCCTGTACAAGTGTATTAACTAATTACCTCAACCCTACCTTGCCTTCTGTCGACACAACGATGAAAAGAGCTTCAATATCTACGAATACTTCGTTGTTTTTAATCAATTTGGTGCTACTCGTGTGCTCAGTGTGCAAAATTCAGCAAATGTGTAAATTATATTGGTTGTCCCCTTTCCAGAATGTGCCTTCTACTGCGTTGTAATCATACGCTATCATTAATTTTTCACATATTTTGGTGCAGTTTCAGCGTTTTTTCTCAGGTCGTTGTGATAACAATGATTAAACTTCACGCCTCATCCCGAGCATTTGAATAAAATACAATAGAAAAAGGTGTTTCTAGAAAAAAATCAAGATCATCCATCTGAGCCTGTAGCTCTAGATCCATAGATCTCAAAATGTGATTCAGTCTACTCTCGAATCCGATTGGTCAATTGCTGCCCAATCAGACTCGAGTAACTCGGTTAGTCGACTGAACCAATTAGAAATGCTTGCCGAGAGAACTCGTGATCAAATGAGATCATATTGAACAACAGACATTCTGTTAGCTGAGTTTGATGAAGGTAAACGACTTCATGCGGAGCCTGGTTAGTTTAAAAAAGCATTCCTCCTCAACAGATAGTCAGTAGAGGTCTGTGGACAGTGCAAGGTATTCGTCTGAAGGGAAGTCGCTAGCCATAGTTTGAGGCGGAACTCACCTGAGGAAATTGAATCAGGGTCTGAGATAGGTGAACATGTTGACCAGAATCCCCGAGTAATTATGCGAGGTTAGTTCTAGGCGATTCAACATAAGGCTTTTCTCGCCCTTCGTTGCCAACAATGAGTTACAATTAATGGGCTTTCCTAAAAGCTTCGTCTACGCGGTAGCCCCTTAACTCAAAATGTCGCGCTTTTTGAAACATCCGACTACAAAACCAAAGTCCTGAAAAAAACATTTGTGTTGTTGAGGCCAAAATGTAATATTTAGCTGCCAGTTTCATTCCAAGATTAAAGCTTAACCACTCAACTCCCTAACCACTCTCAGTAATTGACATCAGCCGGCAAGTTAAAGAATTTGTAAACTAGAAATTCCTCAAATGCCTATGTTAACGGTGTCGGTTATTTGGTCTAGGTGCAGATTCTCAAAATCTCCTGTGGGCATTGCTGTAGACAATCAAAATACCGAACCACGATGATTTGCACGCTTTAGGATGGATCGTTATTTAGCAAAATTCTGTTTGACTGTCACTCCTTGTGAGTTCGTGATTTCGCGCAAAATAAACGGACCTTCATTCTCGGATCTTTCTTTTTCAAAGTTACTGAAACCAATAGTGACAGAAACCTGATCAACGCAACGTTTGTCTTGTTCTTGGTGGCCGAAATTTTACCACAAGTAATATCCCTTTTGGAAGATTCGTCTACACATCAACTTCAGAATCTGGAAGTCGCGTTTATTTTCGTGGCCCATTCACCACTTATTTCTAAGTGCAACCATGCTATGGCTAAGCAAATCATTGACATCAAACACGTCTAACGTTAAGAAATGGGTACAAGGTTTGGTGAAGCCGAAGTGTATTAATAGTGATTTACAAAATCGGTGAAGTTGTATCGCGTAAATTTAGACCCTGCTGCTGAAGGCCATGATTTACCCAAATATGCTTCAACTATTGTGGCTGTGCAAACTGTACAAAGCCTAACAAGCAATAAAATCCATCATGGACGTCACTTTGAGGTTGATTCTTCCCTCAATCATTCAGGTAAGATGTGTCGCAAAAGCTCTAGTGCGGTCAGAAGGATCAGTCGAAGTACACCATAGGGGAAAATGAATTTGAGAATGGCAACTACAGTGTGGGAGCGTGTTTCCACTGCTTCTGGAAAAGTTGTCTCCAAATGAGACCTTTTCGAAGTGTTCAACACATGGTGATAGCAGCTAAAACATTCAGCCACCTTGGGCAGCAGAATATTTAGCCATTCGAGTTATGTTGGAAGATTTCGCGTCATGCATTAATAGCATTCAGATGGGTAATTGCAGGTAGAAGACTTATTCTTACCCTCACTCAGTTTCATTGAAAGTTAGCTTCAGCTCTTTCAATGCTCAAAAGTGGTCTGATTTTGCCTACAAAGAGACTTAGAGTAATAGAAATTGGTAAAATTTAAGGTATTTTCAGAAGGTGCAATCACTCTGTTCAAATATATTTAACCTCAATACAAAAGGTAGCTTAAATTTAGATGAACCGTTACAACATTCCAAGCTGCCTCCTATTCAATTGCATTTTAGAGAAAAAATTGAATGGTGATTCTCCCCAATTCTGAAATTGTAGTAGATTCAAGCAAATCACACTTATACCACTGATCCACACATTCACCTTGAGTAAAATTTGTCAGTAGAGTGAATTCAGGGCTATTCATCCTGATTCCACCAGCTGGTGTACAATCAATTCGAAGTAGCTGCTGAGTATTACTGCCTTTGTGAACATCAAAAGGAAAGTGTAATTAAACATTAATGGTTAGTAATTTGGCACAAAAGCATGACTTAAGGATTTTGGAAGACTTGCAACCATGCGTCATTGGTCAGTTAGGGATCCAACATTTAATTCGTTCAAATATTCTATGCAAATTTTATTTATCTCATTAGATTCACCTGTCTAAATTCAAATATGCGAGCCAGAGGATCTCCTTAATGCCCCACACATATGCGCATGATGTCGAACTCTGACTTAAACGAAGATCACGTATGTTTTGTTAGCGTGACTGAGGTCAATT